CTTGGGAATATAACTCAATAAAAATCTCAATTTTAGTTAAAAACTTTCAAAGCATGGTTTTGCTGTGTACCAACCCATATGATAATTCTGAGATATATCACACTGGTACAGCTTGATTATTCAGAAAAATTATCATTGGCACCAACGTGATGTTATCTCATTATCATACTATATAATTATTAAACGATAAATATTATTATATTGTTAATATCTGAAATCCGGATACTGACTTTAGGTTTGAAATTCGGAGTTTAACATAACCCGTATCAAATTTTCTATTTCTGTATTTGCTTCGTTTTGAGATAAATACGTCACCTATTTATCTGAAATCGGACGTCGAATCATTAATTCTGAAACCCTCCATAAAAACTAAATTTTAAAATTCGTCCGGTCTAGCTTATATAGAAAAAATTTATTAATAAAAATACCAAAAAATTATATTATATAGCAGAGATAATCATAAAATAAAAAGTATTTGAATTTGCTAACGTTTAATCCCATTAACCAAAACACAAGGACCACCACTAATTATTTGCAATCCAATTTTATTTGCATATTCTTGACATTCAACGTTTTCAGCCCCTGGTTGAAGCCATACACGACTAATTCCCAACTAAAATTTGTTTAATAATTTTGATTTAGAATATTAATTACGTTATGAAAAATGGAATAAATAATTAATGAAATACTTTTGTCGCCTCTTTCAATATATCTTTTGACACATTTGGCTGAGTTATTATCGAAATAGATGTATTATTAGGATCAATGTTTGGTAACGAAGATAAATTCGGAGCACAGTTTAATCCCTCGATCTCCGCTTCCTTCTGTAAAAGAGTAATAATTTAATAATAACAAAATAAGTAAAAAAAATAGCAGCTGTATGTATAATTAACAACTTTACCGGATTTACAGGTGTTACTGAATAGTCATTATTAATATACCTAATATCCATATTATTTCACCGACAATCACTTCATAGACACCACGTTTCACTGACAATTATTTACCGACAAGTTCATTTTTACCGACAGTCTATTTTACCGAAGCTCATTTTACCGACAGGTTTTTTTTTATAAATTACACTAACTTTAACTCTAGTTCTAACCTAACCCTAATGATATTGACCAGAATTACTTTGTCTGTAAAATGAGCTTCGGTGAAATAAACTGTCGGTAAAATGAACTTGTCGGTAACTAATTGTTGGTGAAATGTGGTGTCTACGAAGTAATTGTCGGGATCCCTATGAATGGGTAGTCAAAATACGGTACTTTTGTGAAAAAGTTGTAATGTTAGAGTATATTAAAATACAAACCATTTCAACACCTTATTGCCATATTTCGAGGGATCTGTTGAAGCACCTACGACGGCATAATTAGAAGAAGAAAAAAATTCTTTTATAAGACCAGCGGTTTTTGCGCGCGTGTTCATTTCTAACGTCTAAAACACTAATACTACTAATGATCTGATACATACCAAATATCGTTATCAATATGTTAATCGATGCAATTGATTGGCCGATATAACGATCACAAAACTTGTAATGGTAGGAATTTCAGATTTCCTTTCCCTTGAAAAATAATAATGGCGGTAAAACGTTTTTTTTTTCTTTTTGGAAATGATTATATAAATTTATCAACTTTTATTTTTAATTTTTAATTTGAATATTGGTTTATTATACAGTTTCAACCGGTAAATCCAAAACCATTTCTTCAAGAATTGACCGGGAAGCCTGTAATCGTCCGCTTAAAATGGGGTATGGAATATAAAGGTTATTTGGTTTCTGTGGACTCGTACATGAATTTACAGGTATCTTATTTAATGTCTTGAATTTTAATTAGTATAATATGAAAAATCACATTCGCTTATTACATATTTAGAATATATATTTGTATCATTATTTACTATAATATATAATTTCATCATAGCTTGCCAATACGGAAGAATTTGTAGACGGCAATTCGACGGGAGCCCTTGGAGAAGTATTAATTAGGTTTATAATAATTTTATCATCTTGATTCTTTGGCTTTACTCATTGACAATTTGGTCTTTATATTCTCCAATTATCTAAATATCTAATCTGTTTCGCAGGTGTAACAACGTATTGTACATTCGAGGAATAGAAGAAGATACAGAAATGGGAGGTACATAAGTAAGTTTGTGACCCAAACATTTCTTTTGAATTATGACATTACTACATAGTTTAAGTTTGGGATCAAGATTCAAAACTCAAATATATGTAGCATTTTTATTCAATGATGTTAACCTCAAAATCATTATTTTCGTTTTAAACTAAGAAAATTAGGTAATTAACGACTAACAAGATATGTTGAATAAAATGATATTAGATCTTAAATAGATATGTCGAATATTACGAAATTATTATAAAAAGTGTAAGTTTCCTTCGAAATTCGAATAGAAATGCCTCTCAACAGTTTTTAGAAGAGTAGAAAATCAGACCTTATCAGTTACACGGTCCTCTATCCTTCATTATTGATTAGCCCGTAATTGTCAATTGATAAATAATACCCGTTGTCAAACAATATGTATTTAGATAGGGTCAATAAAATTGTTCAAAATAAAAAGAATTCGTTTAAATAGAATTTTACACTATTACCAGATAAGGCTATACAAAGTTTACATCATGAAAAAAATTTGTATACAAAAGGTTTCAATTTATGATTTAGCGAGTTAAGGAAACCATTTTGTATGGTCTTATATTAAAGCATAGGATATACTTTTTTACGGGGTTATTTAAATTTCATATTCAAATTTTTTTATTTAAAAAGATTTAAACTTGTTTTAAATAAATTAATTACAATAAACAGAGCTCAATTTTATATATTTAATTTTGAACAAATTACAAATGACAGTTAAAACTTTAAAAAAAGTCGTGAAGTGTCAACAGCTACAACTTTAATTAAAAATTCGAGTAGTTATTATTTTGAATTCTTTTAACCAATCATATTTACAAATAAATTCGAATTAAGAATATAATCAAGATCTAAAAACTATTTATTTAAATACAAAAGAATATATCTTTTGAAATAATGAATTGTTTTTAAAAAAAAAAATTTATATGGATTTTTATAAAAAATGAAAATATGTTATATATTAACAAAGTAATTAATTTTTGTAAAATTTTTACATACAGTACATAAAATATATTTTTTATTGTAATAAAATTTTTAATAAATTAAATACAGTACATAATATTTTAAATTAGCAAGAAACAAAAAATATACTAAAAGAAAATGTTTTTTATAAGAATACAGTTCACAAAAAAAAAAAAACAAGTTTTTTTAATATAACAAAATTTTAACATTATTATAAACATAATAAAATTTTAAGATATTAGCCAATCAAAATTCAGTATTTTATTTCAAATTTGGTTTTAAAAAATTATTAATTTAAAATATTTTGTACTATATTTGACAATAAAATAATACAATTCTTATAAAACACAACTATAGTGTTTTATATATGTTTTTATTATATTTTTATATTTTTAAGTTTTGTATACTAGGGTGATTCAAAAATTAACTTATTTCGAAAATATTTGGGAGTTTAAAAAAACACATTTCTGTTTTGAAATTCCGAAATCAGAAAATAGTTGTATTTTTATAATACGTATTATCGTCATATAAAATAAATATAATTTATAAATCGCTTATCTCAAAACAAATACATCACTAATTTAATTCAAAATCAGAATCACCCTAATATGAAATTTTAAACAAACCTTTTTTTATATTAGATTAGTATTAAAGTTAGAGTTGAAAATAAGTTGAGGCATAAACCATTTTTATTTAAAATATCTTTTACTGATTAATTAGTTAGTTTTTAAAATAATATGTACTATATAAATAGATATAAAACACTATAGGTGCATTTTAAAAAAAAGACTTGTATATATTGAAAATTTTTTGAAATAACACAAATTTTCCAAGATTATATGATACAAAGTTGTTAATTTTAATTAATTCATATCATACGATTTTCATATGATTTTATAACCAATTTATAATACTTAAATCTTCAAATACATATGATATATTTCAATAAATATTTACCCAATTTTAATAATTTTACCACTATTAAAATCAGAAAAATCTATTCTACAACTTTATTAAAAATTTAAAAAAATAGTTCGCTAATAAATTTTTTTTAATTTTTAAAAAAAAATTTACTAATAGTTTTATATATAATTTGCAAAAAGTATCATCTACTCCTATTAAGAAAGAATCATATCCTCTTGGCGTTGCCTAACTTTATCTTTTTTATTTTGTATTTCATCTGTAGGCACAGTTGTAGTCCCAGATAAAGAATTCAAATCTGCCAACATATTTTCTAGTTGTTCTATTTCTACATCATCATCATCATCATCACCATTCGATACTTTGATAGTATCTTCATTGTTAATTATCTGTTGAGGTACTGAAGGCTTCGTAGGCACGGTTGTTGGAGATTCCTTTACCGTTTCCTTTACTGTTTCATTTGACAACAAATCTTCTAATTCCTGTTCTAATTCATCGTCTTGGGTATCAACTAAAGAGTCACTTCCTAGTTTCATGGCCTCATCGATTTCTTGTTGATCTGCCAAAATATCTTGTAACTTATCTATCGTGGTGTCTACAGAATCGACCGTGAGTCCAGTTGAGGCCATAAAATCATGTAAAGTATTTGCACTAACGTTATATATGTCGATTATCTATTTGCGATAAATGAATTATTATTATATAAGAGTTGGGCTGGTAAATCGGAAATTTTAATTCTGAAATTTAATTATAAAAAAAAATGAGAAAATATTTTATCATTACTTCTGCATCTGATGCTGCTCCTTGAATCTTTAAAAGAATTCTCTCGACAGTTTCCAAAGATTCAACCCTTTTCGACAAAACTTTTTCCAGGTGTATCTTTTGTCGCAAACGATGCTTTGCCATAACCTTTTGTTTTCGAAGAATGTAATTATGAATTTTGGTTGATACTCTAAGAAAAAAGTTAAAATCCTGATAAGTATCCCAAGAAGTTACTATAACTAACAAGTTTTGAAATACCCACTCTTTTATCCGCTCTTCTATGTCATGAATTTGCTGATGTAATTTATCACAAGTTTCCTTGATATAAATGATCCCACGATCAATTGAAGTAATTTCGAATTTAGCATTAGCATTAAGATTTTTCGCTCTAAATTTAATAATCTATATTGATGGATCAAATTACATTAGTTAAGAGAATAATAAATCATAATAAAATATAAACAAAATATAATTTACCATGTCACTTTCTTTTTTATTAACATCTTCGTGCAAGGAATCCGTTATCAAAACTTTACGTTCAGACTCCAAATATGTTATTAAAATCTTTATATCAAAATCTGATAATGTAACATTTGGCATTGCTACGGCTGAAAATTCAGCTTTGAATGTTGATAAAGTATAAAGATTATCAGTGACCCCGTTAATTCCATGTTTCTCTTGATGTTGAAGGACTCGACAAGCAGCTTCTTTCAATGTATCCATTTTAACCCATTTTGCAGAATAATAATTTCCAGAACTAATTAACTTTTGTAATCTCCAATAAATCGGATTCACTATATATTTTGAAACTATCCAGCTTGTCCAGGACAGATTTCGTGAAGAAATAAACTCATCAGCAGGTATTAGTTCATTGTTCATATACATTTCTTGCTATAATGATAAAGTAATTATATTACTTGATCAAAATTCCAATGCGAATATTTAATAAATAAAACTTACAATGACTTACAATGACACAAGGCAAGCTTAATGGGCTATACCCTTTATTTTGAAAATTGTCTTCCAAAGTTTCATTTGTTTCTAAACATATTATATCTTCCCCCAGTAAACCACGATTACTTGTTTCAACTAAAACTTTTTTCCAAAACTTTACGCAGTCTTTATAAGTTACCTCGTCAGTACTTTTTAAAATTGTAAAGTCTGACCAGTACCAATCAATTTTATTTTGAGTTTCTAATTCTTGTAAAGATCTCAAATAAGCACGAAGATCTGTCTGGGACTTTGGATGCATTTCAAAAAAAAAAAAAAGCGCAGTTGACTTTTTGGCTAAAGAGTAAATATCCAAATATCACATGTATTTGTATTGAAAATCGTGATCTGCTTTATATATCAGAAAAAACAGCGATAATAAATTCTCTGTGTATATAACAATAAAATTAGTTTGGCATATGTAAACAAAGATTTTGCAGCAGTTGGTAGATATGTTGTGATAATGGGGCCATTTCTCGTACGTACGTATGTACAAGTAGTTATAAACTGTAAATATTCACGATTAGAGATTTTGAGGTGAGTATTTAAAATGTGTTCTATCAAAAGAAAACCTGTATGTACCTTGCTTGGTTTTGAGTTTACAACAGTTCTAGATAGTTTACTCATACAGAGAGATCCCAAAAATTTCGGGTCGGATGCATCGGAAACCTGGTCGGATGGGCCGGAATTGATCAATTTCACTACTGCACTAAGAATTTTACTATTCGTATGGGCTGATTTATGGAATTGCTAATAATTTTTGATCTACTACTTCATTTTGAATAATTTTACTACCAAAATGTTCGTCTCGATGAGACGATTCTAATGAATCCAAATTGTTAAAATCCAATCATAGGATCCCAAGATAATTAAAATTTTGTATAAATTTACTATTAAATTTTAAAGTTATTATATAAATGCACTTAATATTAAATAACTTTTGATATATTAGTCTGTTTTAGATGATTTACTACCAAAATGTTTGTCTCAATGAAACAATTCTAACAAGCCCAAAAATCATTAAAATCTAATCACAGGATCTCAAGATCATTAAAGATCAGTATTATGTAGACAATTACTTAATACAATTGGTTTTATATATAAAAATCAATTGAATGATCTTGAGATCCTGTGATTTGATTTTAATAATTTGGGCTTGTTAGAATTGTCTTATTAAATATATTTATATTTACAAAATTTATAATTATACCACACTCAAAATCAAAAAAACAAATACATTTTCTATAAAAAAAAAATATTTTTTTATCTTTTATAAAGTTAAAGATAGTAAACCTTTTTTCTTCTAATATCTAATTATAAAAATTTTTTGCTATTTAGAAAATAAACTTCTTGTAGGTTTTTCAAATTACTACAAAAGATTCTTATATCTTTTACAATATAATAATGAATTAGCAAAAATTAACAATTATTACCAACCCTACTTTAACTCTTGATAAGGGGGCATCCATATATAACATTATATACCCCTATATAGTAGCTCTTGACCCCCCCTAGACTATATAAAAAATTTTTAAAAATCTATATCTTTATATATAAAATTTTACAAAAACTTGAATATATTATGACCCAGTGATCCAATCAGAATGATTTTGGTACTATTCGATTTGTCTCTTTGAAATGAATCCAATGGTACCAAAACATTTCATTTGGACAACTGGATAATGTTTTATTAATGAAATACTATTGATTTTATAGTAATTTTATAAGAAAACATAATAACCAATAGTATTTC